TGTACTGTTGTTTGTTAGAACTGTAAATTTAGAGTCATATTTTTATATTACTGGTTTTATATATTTTTTACGATTTTTCAAGGCTGCACTTTAAAAAAAATTTAATTGTCCAGAGAGCTTTTCTAAACTAAATTTCTTTTTGTTTTACACTTGTGTAAACAAAATGACAAATATACCTGTCTAAGTCTAAGTCTTTTGTCACGCCCCAAAATTGACATACAGACCAGTCCACTGGTTCACCTGGCCCAAGAACATGATGTAAGATGTAATACACCAGTTTAAATGTTTAGCCTACAGTTGGGTTTACTTCTAAAGAAATACAAAGCAGGCAGTTTCTCTATTGAAAATGAACCAGAACCATGGACGTGATTTTTCACAGTCTTCCCAAGGATTGGAAGACCTGACAGGCATGGATTATTTTTGTGTATCAGAAGATCCCTGCAAAGTCTGATGCTCGGCTGTTCCTTTGCTCTAAGCATTTTAACGAAGACAGCTTTCAAAATCTTGGACAGTTCATAGCAGGATTTGCTAAACTTCTTTTACTGAAGTGAGGGTCAGTTCCGACCGTAAGGCCATCACAACTACAAGCTGTAAATACTATTTTGTCGCTAAGCTGTTGATAGCATATCTATGGTGACCAGATTTGGGTTTCTGAAAAGGAGGACACTGACTGGACTGGTCGGACATTCGAACCAAGCCATCAGCTCCGGGGCTGGTCCAGGTCCGGAGCCAGCCAGGGGACGGAGCTACTGAACCCGATCCGGTGAGGCTATGCTTCCCCCCACCTGCCCGGTAAGGCAGGCAGGGGGAAGCACGGGGCCGCGGCTACAATCACCGGGCCGGGTTAGGTCACACCGTCCCTCGCTGGCTCTCTCACTGGCTCCCTCACTCCATCCATAGGGGTTATTGGACCAGCCCCGTAGCTGTCGATTACAGTTCTGCTGCACTGTAGTCGACCAAAGTCCCTGACGATTTTGTAATTCCCGCCGGACATTTTTTTTAGGTATGAAAAGTAGGACATGTCCAGGAAAAACAGGACGTCTGGTCACCCTACCAAATCAACAATTCAATGTTTCATTGAGTGAGTGCTTGTTACTTTGATACATCTTTGCTAAGCAGCTTCGCTTGTTGTAAACCAACCAATCAGCACACAGCTCATCTAAATATTCATGAGCATACCATAAAAGGAAGAAAACCTGTCGTTTCAGTCTAGGGCTTACAACCAGGCTTGCATTAGGGCTCATAGAACAACAAATATGACATTTGCAGCCCAAAAAATGTTACACACCCTATTCAGACACCTTAAGGACCAGCACCAAATACCCTATATAATAGGGCTGGGCGATAATTCAATAACGATATATATCGATCGATAGACGTGTGGCGCAATAGAAAAAAAGAGGGTCGATAAAAGTACGATAAAAAAGAAACACAGTTTTCCTTCCTTCTCATTGTAGCCTAGCATGTAGGTTTATGCTAGTCACTGCTTCCTCCCAACCAATCACAATCGCGGACCCAGGCATGTCGTCACCAAGCGCCGCCCTCTCAAACCACAACACAGAGCACATGAAGCTGTGCAGCAAGGAGAGGCGGAGGAAATTGTTTCAAAGAAGGGTTTTTGTAGTTCGGCAGTCTGGCAGTATTTCGGTCATGGCAAGTCGGACCAAAAACAAACCACAGTCATCTGGAAAATGTGTCGGGAACCAGTGAAAACCAGTCTGATAACGAAACCAACTTTTTTTTATCATCTCAGCCGCTCACACCCGCAGGAGTACGAGCTGTGTAGGCCCCGACGCGGCTCTCCTCCGAGGAATCTTCGGAAAATATATATATATATTCAGTTCTGGGCAGTTTCCCACGTAGTTCTAACAATTGAGATAAAAATGCTGAGGGGCCAGAAACTTCAAAGTAATAACTCAAGTTAAAGCAGGAAACGGGGGCGGCGGCGGTGGTGGGGGGGCATTTATTTATTTGTGATATTTATTTTGGTCACTTTTCTGGTCACTTTAGTTTATTCTTTGTCAGTATTTAATAACATAACTCAGGTCTCTTAAGTTATTTTTCTTTAAAACAATTCTGTTATGGTTAAAAAAGTTGGTTAAATAAAGATTTAATTCGAAGTCTGTGTTTGTGTTTTTTATTAAAATTAAATCATTTAGCAATATTATAAAAAGTCCAGGCAGAGCTGCACATATAATATGGTTTCAAATCTTTTCAATAATTATCGATATCGATCAATATGCATTTTTTTTTATCGATAAGCTTTTTTTCTATATCGCCCAGCCCTACTATATAATCATAAAAAAAAAAAAGGCTTTAAATTCCAGATTCTCTGGCCTTTTCTCTGCCTGCTGAGGATCTGGAAACCATTCAAACTGTAAAGGTATATTCCACATTTAGCGTAGAAGAAGATATCAAGAGAAGAAAAACAGTAAAACAAATAAATTCAAACTAATCACATCCGTTCTAAATTAATTACAGAAAAACTTTCCCAGCTAAGTAGCATCGATTATTTCATAAGGCTTGAGATTATTGTGTCTCCTCAGCAACTGGAAGCCACCGATTTAGAAAACCTGAAGAATGTGTATTGATTGTGAATAATTACGCTCATGGTTTGAGGTTTTTTCCACGGCAGATCAAAAAAAGAGGTGCCTGAATCAGTGTTAATGTGCTGCCTGATTGCAATTTCACTGAATATTCTTAGCTCCCAACTCATCCAGCGACAGGAAGTTTCAGCGTAAAGCAGATGAATGTCTCTGGTATTTGGCCAGCAGGGAGGGGAAACGAGTAAAAGGCTTTGCTTTTAATAGAAATCAATTTTAGTCTGCCAGCTGCAGAGCGAGTGAAACACACAGTATTCTCTGCACAAAGGGATGTAATATAAAAACACCTGCCATCTCGTGATTGGGTGAAGAAAGGAGGCTCAGGAGGCTTCATTCTCTCCAGAGGCACCCTTATCACTGCCTGCAGGACTGATGCCATTAACCTGGGCCTCCCTGGTTAACTGTGCTTTGATTAGCTTTCTGACTTTACAGCACAGCCAATACGATGATACCGGGTGAAAAAGCAGAAACAATCTACAGTAAGAAAAAGACACTGTGATTGAAAAAAAAGGTTTTAAAAGGTATGTAGTATTTTCATCAAGCTTACAACCTTCAATAGATATACAATATGCTGATGAAGGTTCTCAGTCATCCAGGTCATAGTCATTCCGTAAAAATTCAAAAAATATCCACTGGACTTGGTTTTCAAGATTTGAAGACGTTTCGCCACCTCTCCAGGAAGCTTTCTCAATTCAAATGTCTGGATCCGCAGTGAGTTTGAGTCTTTTTACGGAATAAATATACAAGTGTTTAAACTGTGATTTAAATATAAATAAATATATATATATATATATATATATATATAAAGAGCATGGTTTACCTTACATTTAAATTTTTGTAGTTTTTGTCCTGACCAAAACAGCGCTAATTTATCACTAAATACAACAAGTGCTTTAATGTCACTTTTATGATTTTTCCACTTTGATCAGTTGTTGATTGGCTCCAGAACCAGTCTAAATCTTAAAAGTGGGGCTCTTCACTTTTGTCAAAAATATCAATATTTATCAATTTTTTCTCAAAACTATTAAAAAGACAAAATGATCTTTAAAGTGCGATTGTGTCTCCTCGGTAAATAACAGTACCACTCTTTGTAAATCTTGAATTCCTGACCCAGACGTCCAACACAAAACTCCCAGAATTTTTCAAATTAAACATGTATTAAAGTACAGAAAGTAAAAACAGACAAAATGATTTTTCAAGTAAATACATTTTCAAAGCATATCTATCAGTTTCAAATATTTAATTCTAAAAACAAAAATAATTTTCAAACCAATGCATTTCAAATCAAATTATATGAAAACCGATTCAGTTTGAGAAATGAAAGTTTTGCCTCTGGTTTCTGCCCATATTCCTGTGTTGTACACTCTGATTTAGAAAAGAGAGCCAATATAGATGGCAGTGGGGAGGAGCAGTGATACTGTAAGTCACACGTTTCGTATAAAACTGCAAATCTGCAAAATGGCAAACTAGAGGAATGACCAGCATGAGCAGAGTTTATCAAATAAAAAAAATACACTATGGGAAACATTTGGATTCTAACACATGATGAAAAGTACATGATATGTATGATCTACTAACGAATGAACATCTGCACCAGCTAGCAATTTAAAAAATCTGAAATTTAAGCAAAACAGAAAAGTGATTGGAAATTACTGAATATATTTTTTTCAACAATTAAATGCAGTCACAGGAACCCTGTCTAGCTTAATGGGAGAAAGGAGGCAAAAATTGGTTGAAATATCAGTCACATTTATTAATAACTCTTATGGAACCAACCTATATTTAGACTCAAAACCACATTGGTGGAAAACCTTTTTTGATATGCAACTCATAAAATATAGTCTAACTGTATTCTTATCTCATTTTGTTTTTAAAAATCTTGTATCTGTGTATTGTACACTTGATCTTTAGGGAGCCATATCAGAACCGACGGATTCACAGAGACATCGCCACAGGTGAGAGTTCAGATCCATCAATCTGATGCTGTAACCAATTAACTAACAATATTTTCCCTTTATTGTCTGTAGTGAGACAACATCGATGAACAGTAAATTGTTCAAATACATGCATTAAATGATTCAACTTGACCAGCTTATTATGGGTTTATCTTTACGTCAATATTTGTATCCTCCAAGTTCTGGTGTAAAAGCCTTTATCAAAACATTAACAGGAGGGAAAAAAATAATCATTTACATAAAAGGTGGAGTTTCTTTATATTTTTTCAAAGGTTTGGAAATTATTCATAGTTTATCGGAAGGTAATAAAAAGCTGTTTAAAGCTCTGATTAGTTATGCTGATAACATGATTTGAAGGGAAGCGTGTTTCACAGTTGGAGCTCCAACTGTGCTCAACATGCATCATTAAAAAATAAGTGAAAAAACAAGAGTCTTGTCTTACCTTCATTACAGAAGCGGCCCTTGTATTCTGTTTTGGAGCAGTCGCAGACCGGTTCTCTGTCTATCACCATGCACGTTCCACCATTCTCACATGGGTTGACAGTGCACCAACCTTCTGACTCCAGGGGCACCTTTAGGCTTCCCAGGAACAGGGGTTGTGAGCTGCCAAACTTGAGGTCAGTAATTGTTCCCCTGAAGGGTTGCATGGTTCGCACCGTAGGCAGTGTAAGTGCACCATTGCGAATATCCTGAGGTACTCCACCCAGGAACAGGTCGCTCACTATTTTCATGAACTGGCGCTGAGGTTTCACCTCATCGGCTTTGGCCTGCCCGTCCAGCACCAGTACTGTACGCAGGTTATACCTGCTCAGCGTGGCGGCGTGCCAGCTGCCGTCATCCACCCTTCTGTCGGAAACAACTGTGGTCTCAGCGCAGTCAATGCTGAAGCGCAGCTGCAATCGACCCTCCACCACCCCCAGCTGCAGAAAGTCACAGTATCCTCCATCATCGAAGTACAGCAGCAGCGACTCTGAGGCTTCTGTCTTGAACTGAAAGCTGAGGTCACCGCGGGTGCTGGCATCCCAGCGGAGGTAGCGTGCCCACTGACCTGGAGTACCTAAAAATTCCAATCCCAGACAGGAGCTGAGGAATAACTGCAGTCTGATAGAAAAACCTACAAGATTCATAGCTGCAAAGAGTTAATCCAAGAAAATGTCCGACAGGGATTCAGTGAAATGGAAATCTGTTGAATTTCAGGAATCCAGTCTTTAGTCACAATATGTACGGAGATATATTCATATAGATATTTCTTATAAAAATATGCTTTTAAAGGGAACAGGGAGATAGAGGGATAACAGTCGTTGGTTAACAGTCTTAAGAACAAGAAATTGTCCAGACACTTCAAGGCAGTGATCGTGCAGAGGAAAACGTTTCTGTTTTTACGCTTTTTTATTCTTCAGAGCATCGTTTTTGGTGTAAGGTCTGAGACAATGGTTTCCTCTGATCATCATGGAAAGTGGAATTTCCTCCATATTTTTCAGACGAGAAGTGGAGGTGTTAGTGGATCCATAGTTTTCTCTCAGTTTCATCACTGTCAGGGGAGAAAAAAAGGTGGAAGATCAGAAAAGGGTCGTCACATTCAGGTTGCACAATCAATTTCAACGTATTTCCTTGATAGATCTCTTTCAAGTTTATAACTATTATGTGGGGAAAACAGGATGTACAGATACTACAGTAGATATAAGTTAATGTAACATTTGTATAGAACCTCATCTTAAACTAGTCAGAGAAAAAAACATTCAAAAGCCAACAGCTTTCTAATTGGCTCAAAACCCAAGCAACGGTCCATGAGCCTATAAGGTCTCTCGGTCAAAGTCAGTAGGCCACACAATTACAGGGAAGACTGCTGATAAGACACTTGTAAAGAAGACAGTTATTGACATCCTTCACAGAGAGAATAAGCAGCTGAAGAGCATTGCTACAGAAGATGGCCGCTCTTAAAGAGCTATTCCTCACACATTGTTAAAGTTAAGTGAAAAGACAAAGTCTGGTAGGAGCAGATGCACTAGCAGCAGGAATAACCACAGCTTTGAACAAGTCAAACAAAATCAATTAAAAATATAAGGTCCCATGGTCTGTGGGAGTACTGCAGAAGCACAGGCTCCATATTTCTTGAACTGCAGTGGAAAATTTCTGGAGCCTGAGTTAATTTGGGGAATCACATCAGTCGGTGCTGGTCTAATGTATTGTCATAAGCAATGCCATAACTATCGCTAAGTAGAGACTGCAGTTGCTTAGAGGCCCCGTCACTGATATCTGGTTGGCCGCCTACCAATGGCGTAACTATTGGTAAGCAGAGTATGCAGTTGCTTAGGGGCCCCCGACCTCTTAGGGGCCCCATCACTGACACCTGGTGGGCCCCCTATTCCATTGTGGACTAGGACGTCTCTTTGCAGATGTAATTGTGCGGAAAAATTCATCTTAAACCCACCTGGTACTTGGTTGATTGACCGGACATTATTTATACCCCAACACATGATGGTGAGCTGTTTAAACACAATACCAATAGCAAAGCAGACAGTTGTACTTTTAATTACTTAGTAAATAACTATATAGTTCTTAAGAGGGTTGGTAAAAATAATACACTAATATAATATGTTTCAAACCGCAATAAAGATCTTAAAAGAATTATGTAATTGATTATTTTATTTTTTACAATACGACTTGGAATTATGGGTAATTTGGAGCGTAGATTAAAACAATAACCGTTACATACAATGTGTTAGCGACGGTGGGCTGGTGGGTAGGGGATGGGGTTTTGTATTTCATATGGGGCCGACCCAGCAATGTTGCTTACGGGCCTATTGTTGTGTCGTTATGCCATTGGTCATAAGCCCACAGCCAACACAGCCGTCAACCTACACTTTCAAATGAAACAACTGCAAAGAAATTGGTAATTTTCCTTCATATATATGTTAGGATTTTCGCTCTCATGATTTTCAAACATTGGCACTAACGTTAAAAAATCTGGCATAGATTAACTGTAATCTGATGTGTTCTTAATTTGGAGCCAGTTAATATAGGGGGAAAAAAACTGCCAAGTAACGTTAAAATAGGCAATGGCGGAAATGTGGAGTCACTTGTTGAATTGGTTGTATAAGGAAAGCCCACAGCTACACTGTAACCTACATGTAATGTTGATGTAAACTCAAAATTAAAAAGGATCAAAAACTAGTGTTTAAGGTAAACGTTCTGCAGTGCGAGACTTTAAAGTTAGTGCAACCAAAACTGCAATTGCATAAAAAATCAAAAGTGAAATCAAAACGATGGTTTCATCAGGTACACTTAATGTTTTGTGTTTATTGTAAGTTATGGTTAAGCTATAGAGCAAAGGTTTGCAAAGGGTTTGCTCAGCAACTAAAATAATAAAATTCTTTAAGGGTTTTGAACATGTTTTGAAACATTATCAACCCACAATGTTAACAGAGTGATTTAACTCTGAAACATGTTTCCATGTTAAGTTGAAACCAACAATCTTTCATTTAGACACTGTTCCATTTTGTATAAAGAAGCTGATGTCAGGAGCAGAGGAAATGCTTTTAAATCCGCTGTATCAAGCCATAATAAGAACTGTGATGCTTTAATCATCAAAGGAAAAATGTTGATTTGATGTCATCACTCCTGTCGGAGACAGAGCTGCATTCTTCCTCCTCCAGAGGTTGTTTGGAGTTATCGGTCATCTGCTGGGTAAATTAGTCTCATTATTCTCATGGCACAGAATGACTATGCGTTAGCCAGGCAGACTGCCTTTATCTGATGACCAGACTGCAGAGAAAGCTTTCTGCTGAATCCAGCTGAATATTACGATGTGCAGAAAAACACAACTGCATCCTTAATCGGAGACATACACATGCTAATTTATGCATTTTATTTTTTATATGTAAAATGATTACGGTGACATTATTTATGACAACTATTATACATTTTCTGAGATTTAACATTTATTTTTTATTTTTGTAAAATTATTTGTGAATCATTTCAGGATTTTCTTATTCTAAGCCAGCAGATGTTTTAAAAAGTGCACATTAGGCAAGATCTGTCAAAGTTATTTGCAATTTGACTTACCGTAAACCAATCAAAGAAGCTCTATAGTTTCTCGTGAAAATGTGGGATAACACGAAAAGGATATGTGTCTGGAAAATTTGGTTGGATCTGACACAAGTGTCCTCTGTGTCCAAAATACTTATGTCCTGGATTGTGTCATACAAAGTTTTATGCTTTATAAACCTCTTGACAGTGGATTTGGATTTTGTTTCTGTGGGAAAGAATGATTTTTAATAACCACTTGAAGCATCTATTCTTTAATCTGAGTGGGTAATATCTTAATAGTTGAGAGCTTCCATTTTCAGAAAAGGTCAAAATTAACTAATGTTGCCAATAGTAAAAAATGCTTAATATTTGCTTACAGGATGGTTATTATTTATGACGGTTATGTTTTTCTATTTAGCTTCATCCTTCAATGCTCTTCAATGTTTTTGAAAGACATGTTTTGTTTTCCTTGGATAAAAACCTTGTTTTCATGTTAGAGAAAAACTGCTCCCAAAAAATATGATGGAAGCCTAGTCCTCCATAAATGGATTGATCAGAATTGCGTCATTATTTTCAACCTACACTATATTGCCAAAAGTATTTGCTCACCCATCCAAATTATTGGAATCAGGTGTTCCAATCACTTCCATGGCCACAGGTGTATAAATTCAAGCACCTAGGCATGCAGACTGTTTTTACAAACATTTGTGAAAGAATGGGTCGCTCTCAGGAGCTCAGTGAATTCCAGCGTGGAACTGTGATAGGATGCCACCTGTGCAACAAATCCAGTCGTGAAATTTCCTCGCTCCTAAATATTCCACAGTCAACTGTCAGCTGTATTATAAGAAAATGGAAGTGTTTGGGAACGACAGCAACTCAGCCACGAAGTGGTAGGCCACGTAAACTGACGGAGCGGGGTCAGCGGATGCTGACGCGCATAGTGCGAAGAGGTCGCCAACTTTCTGCAGAGTCAATCACTACAGACCTCCAAACTTCATGTGGCCTTCAGATTAGCTCAAGAACAGTGCGCAGAGAGCTTCATGGAATGGGTTTCCATGGTCGAGCAGCTGCATCCAAGCCATACATCACCAAGTGCAATGCAAAGCGTCGGATGCGGTGGTGTAAAGCACGCCGCCACTGGACTCTAGAGCAGTGGAGACGCGTTCTCTGGAGTGACGAATCGCGCTTCTCCATCTGGCAATCTGATGGACGGGTCTGGGTTTGGCGGTTGCCAGGAGAACGGTACTTGTCTGACTGCATTGTGCCAAGTGTAAAGTTTGTTGGAGGGGGGATTATGGTGTGGGGTTGTTTTTCAGGAGCTGGGCTTGGCCCCTTAGTTCCAGTGAAAGGAACTCTGAATGCTTCAGCATACCAAGACATTTTGGACAATTCCATGCTCCCAACTTTGTGGGAACAGTTTGGAGCTGGCCCCTTCCTCTTCCAACATGACTGTGCACCAGTGCACAAAGCAAGGTCCATAAAGACATGGATGACAGAGTCTGGTGTGGATGAACTTGACTGGCCTGCACAGAGTCCTGACCTCAACCCGATAGAACACCTTTGGGATGAATTAGAGCGGAGACTGAGAGCCAGGCCTTCTCGTCCAACATCAGTGTGCAACCTCACAAATGCGCTTCTGGAAGAATGGTCAAAAATTCCCATAAACACACTCCTAAACCTTGTGGACAGCCTTCCCAGAAGAGTTGAAGCTGTTCTAGCTGCAAAGGGTGGACCGACGTCATATTGAACCCTATGGATTAGGAACGGGATGTCACTTAAGCTCATATGTGAGTCAAGGCAGGTGAGCAAATACTTTTGGCAATACAGGTGCTGGTCATAAAATTAGAATATCATGAAAAAGTAGATTGATTTCAGTAATTCCATTTAAAAATACTGAGTGCTGTACATGCTCATACTTTTCATGTTCATACTTTTCAGTTGGCCAACATTTCTATAAATCCTTTGTTTTTATTGGTCTTCAGTAATATTCTAATTTTCTGATATGATGAATTTGAGATTTTCATTTGTTGTCATTTGTAATCATCAAAATTAAACAAAATAAACATCTGAAATATATGAGTTTGTATGTAATGTATGAATATAATATACAAGTTTCACTTTTTAAATGGAATTACTGAAATCAATCTACTTTTTCATGATATTCTAATTTTATGACCAGCACCTGTATAGTGTATTTAGTAATTTATTGTTTTATTAAACAAACCAAGTAAACTTTTGACTAACTGTATCCTCTTCTAAAAGAACAAATTTATTTTTTTCCAATAGCATCAGCATTTTTAATCAGCCAGTAAAGGCCTTGTCGTGCAAGAAAAAGGCTTGTTTTGTCTTGTAGAACAAAATTTCATCTGCCTTTTCTTTTGCACGGAAGAATCAAATATTACCATTCTGTTGATGAATAGAAAAAAAAACTGCAGAGGAGCTGAAAGCTGAGCTGCAAACTTCAAATTAAGCTGAGTCTGATAATAATCCACATCGGGTTAG